TTATAGTTGGAATCAGAATCGGAATCGAAATACTTTGGAATTGGAATCAGAACGGTCAATTCCCATAGTCTGTTTGATTCAGATAGAAATAGGAATGGGAATTAAAATCAGCAGAAATAAGATTTTATTCCCAAGGGAAGGGCAGAGAATGGTCATTCCCTCAAATGGAGAAATGTCATTCCAGCAAGAATGAGAATAACAATTCCGATTCCATCCAACCAATCAGTTGGAATCAGAATAGCCCATTCCGATTCCGATTCTAGACCCCTATTCTTACAAACCAAACGAACCCTCTAGTTCTCATCACAACTATAAGGGATGAAAGCCATTACAGAAAACACCTCAATACTAGACCATACCTTAATGATCAATTATAAGTTCCTATAGTTAAATGCTTATTTAATTAATAGTACTTTTTTCACTTTCTTTTACTGTTTCAAGGTATGAGGCTCTAGAATTTTCTTCTTCTTCTTCTTCTTCTTAAAATACTCTAAAAGCCTGCCTTTTATATGGTGGAACATGATATTTGTCAGTACGTTCTTTTCAATAGCTAATATGTCCATATAGAAATAGGCATTCTTCTTCACAAATTCGATCCTCACACCCACCACACAGCCCTTACAAAGGCACATGGTAATATATATATATATATATATATCTTTGTAATTGAATGCTTATATTCATGGGGAGATATTCCCAATGCATATCTGTAAAAGGGTGTGAGAACCAATTTTCTGAGAGGAAACCCCAATTTATCCACATGAAGAAAAGAAAGCATATTTTCCAGCCTGACCTTTAGGCTTAGTTTGAAAAGAATACAAGTATAAATATATACAGTACATATACATACAAAATACAAAATTTTACACTTTACATATTTGCATTTATACTCTTTCCAATAGTGAATTAGCACATGAAACTTTCATATTCTAAGACTTTGCCCCTCCAATAGTATTCCTTAGTTAATTTCAAAAAAAAAAGGATATCTATTTGAATAATATGTGATTGTTTAACCTTTTTAAATTCCCAAACTACCCTTAATTTATTGGACAAAATCGGCCATGCATAAAGAAATAACTTGCTTTGCCCTGTCCATTTTTATCATTTCAAAATGTCATCCTTTCACCCATACAAAACTTAAAAGCGCATTTTAGTAAATTAATTTTTCCTTCAATTCAATCAATGGAAAAGGGGACAAAGTGCTAAAATCTGAAAGTCCAAGGGCTCTTGTCGTAAATGAAAGTTCAGGAAACTATTCCTAAAGTACAGAGTGATAATATGCAATTTACCCCTTTTTTTATTACAAGAGAAATATAGGGGATATTTGGAAGTGTGGCCGTTTTCTGAAAAACGGTGCCACGTCGAATCCACATAGGGGTTTCAACAAATGCCCACATATACGATTGTTTGGTTCAGGCATTTTTTGAAAAAATGGTTATGCCTCATAAATCGGGACCCAATCGATGCATGAAATGTTAAAGTTGGCGTTTCATGCATCGGTGAACCATTGCCCCCAATGGTTGATTGATTGACAATTACATGTATCCTATGTGGTGTTTACCTGTCAGCACATACATGAAAAAATGGTGATGAAAATCACCTTACCAAACAGCATAGTGTTGTTCACTGCCTACGTGGCAGAAACACTCCTATTCATATCAAGGCGGTTTTTTGTAAAAATACGGGTCAAGCAAGCATAGGCATTTTTTTTTTTGAAAATCGGTCTCAAAAAACGCCCACTTCCAAACACCACCATAATCCTCAGATTTGAAGAAAGAAGCATCATTATCTTTATTAAGCCATTTGAACTCTATTAATTATTTTAATAGAATAGTTAATCTAGATTCGTTCAATAAAGCTATTGCTACCAAATCGAATTAGTTGAATGAAATTACTACAGAAAAGGCACAGAAAAAATTTTATCAATTGAATTATATTAATTATTAAAGGAAAAAGCAAAGTAACCAACAAAAAATGATTAAATACGTAGAATAGCATTGCTGTTAAGATGTTGATAGCATGGTTTTCAAAATTGGACCAAACCGGACAGTTGGATCAGAAAAACTGGGAACCGGTCAGGTGATCGGTTCCATTTTGCCCCAGAACCGTTATTTTCCTAAAAATTGTTGATTTCGTCAGTAAACCGCTGACCTGAATGGTCGAACCGTTCAATGGTTTGGTAAGTTTTTATTTTTTTATTTTATTATTTATTTTTGTCAAAATAAGCCATCCATTCAGTTTAAACGATCAAACCGACCCAAAAAATAGACCCAAACCGATTCTTTATCTGATTCGGTTTTAAAAACCTTGGTTGATAGAATTCGATCAACATCAAACCGCTCACATCAAAATAGCGACAAAAATATAAATTAAAAACAACCAAAGCAAACAATATCTTAATAATCTGCATAAAGATAATTTACTAATAACAGTGATTAGTATGGATATCCGTGATCCAGGATAAGTCATCCCAACAAGCAACAAATCAATCATTTTTTATTGGGTCCCATGGTGAATGGATCCTGCAATTTAAAAAAAAAAAAAAAAGAACGTATCCTGCAATGGAAATCAGATCTGCCTCTGCCAAAGGATGAGCAACATTTGATAACTTCAACGGCGTATAGCACTACTTGTCAATCTTTACAAAGAAAAGCCTCGCATACTAAGAATGCAAGATTTAGAAGCAAGCAGTAATTACTTGATTAATTTAAATCATTAATGGCCGCTCGGCAATCAAACGAGCCTCACATATTCCACGGAAGGAACTCTGCATTTGTCCCCTCCAAAAGATTGGCCCATTTTGCCTCTTGTTTGGAAGTACTTATAAGCATATTAGAAAAAAAAAAAACACTTATTTTAGGCCGGGGCTACACCAATTAACACTTATATGTATTTGAGAAATAAATGTTTTTTTGGAAATAAGCTCGTTTTAAATAAATTATAAATTTTGCCTTTTAAAGCATTTCTTGAAAAGAAACATTTATTGCGTTTCTGGCCCATTTTGGCCCGCCACAATTTCAATTACCCATACTACACCTTTTGATAGAATTGCTTTTCATCAAATACTCATAATTGCTTATAATCACTCGCAAACAGGGGCTTGGTACTGATTGCGTTGGTTACAAGTAAAAGAATTTCCAGCAAGTATTACCGGACTCAAGGATCCCGATTTGAGTTTCCCCTGGCGTATCTATTTCTTTGCACATTGTGTGATATCGTCAAGCCAAATACTGGGCTAATGCCTAAATGGACGTCAATTTTGAGAACAATGAAAAAAAAATTTCAAGACAAAAATTAAAAAACAAATCAAAAGTAAATCTATGATGCCGAAAAGGTATGCTACAGGGAGAACTTTGACAAATCAAAACCCTTTGTAAATTATCACAATATCGCGTGATTGGTTAATGGTTACCATTTTTATGGTACCTGTCGGTTGGTTCTAAGTTTTTCTGGTATTAAAGAATATGGTTTCTTAGCTGGCCAAGTGAGTGGAAATGGGCCACTTGTGACACAAAGTTGGGCTTCTCATCCAATACTGCCCAGAGAGGAAGATTTGGATAGTTGAATTAATATGAGTGGTCGTTTGGGAGTGCTTATTGTTTAAATAAGTGTATTTAGTGAAAATGTGCCTCTTTTAACCGATTTTGTATAGGCATTTTGAAAATTACGTGGCAAGCTAAGACGAGCTAGAAAGTACTTATTAGCATACAAGTGGTTATTGGTATGGTCTCGGCCTAAAATAAATCACTTTTTCAAAAAGTGCTTAGAAATAACTCAATAAGCACTCTCAAACAGGGGCCAAATTTACAAGATAGTATGGCTGACACCAACAGATTTTTTGTGCATTGATTAATTTTGATGTATTGTTTAATGTTTTGGCAGGCTTATGAGAAGGTGAAGTTTAGTTCCTCTTTGTTCTGGGATTGGGGCAAGGAGGGATACATCCTGGCTGGCACTGTAGAAAGCTTCCAGCAGTTGCTTCATGGCCATGGCCATCAAACCAACTAGTTGTTACCATACTTGTAGTAGTAGTAGTAATACGGGGTAGCGCTAGCTTCGGGGATTGGCAAGGCACAGACGCAGCCCAGTGCAGTAATCAACCATATTGCCGAATTGAAGATATGATATTGCGTTCTACTCAAAAACCTATATAGCTTTTAAGCAGCAGTAAAAGGTAGCTAAAAATGTCCATGTTCTCTTTTACAATACAAGTTAATTTGTCGCAGACATTTTAAAAAGTTGTGATGAGTTTAAGAAAAGTGCTGTTAATAAGATGACAGTTCAGTTTCAGACCCGAATGAGTTTTGGCAGGACAAACCAGTGTTGGGTCCACATTGTCAAACGCCTCAAACCGGACTGCGTCAGAACCCAGATATTGAAACTGATGAGAAGAAGAACCCCATGTAAAATAACAAGTCGTTCAAACGACTCAAACCGAAGAGTTTGATTTATTCATGTAAAACGATATTTTTCATTCCATCGATCAGATAACTCACTCATTAACTAATGGAGTAAACAATCGCAAAGCAGAAGCCAATGGCCATGACCAATAACACTGATATGAATCCATCATCGACGGCAGCAAAGCAAAGTCCACGAAAGATTTCCTAGACCCTTGAGGACTCTCCTAAGTATACAATCGACTAATGATGCAACTCTCATCATGGACTGGTTTCGACTTGCCCAGTTACGACCTCTACGCAATATTGTTCGACTTTGTTTAATTTGTTCTTCCTTCCTCTTTAATTTACTTAATTTAATCTTCTTACTTCAATATATTATTTAAGAATTCGATAACAATTAAACAAGGAAGAAGGTAGGCCCCAAATTAAGATGGACTGGTATTCACATAACAAAATACCCAACCATTGTCAATATCTCCACCGCATCCTTTTCTTTTCTTTGTAAGCACCAACATAAAAAATCTATCAACAGATAAACGTTAAACTTCTTCAATCGCTACCTGGTGCATGTTAGACCAAAATTCAAGAACGTAACGTTTAATAGCTCTCGACGGATCCATTTTCAGCAAAGAAATCAATCAAGGGTTGGTCTGCAGAAACCACTTCAACAGAGTTTGATCCAGAAGAGGTCGAAGCATTAGAATTCTCAGCTGAAGTTGATGGGAAATGATTTTCGATTTTATCCTCTAAAACCCCGGTTGGATGCAAAGGAAAGAGCGTCAATGTTTCATGATGACCATCGGTGGTACCAACCAGTCCCTCGTTGTCGTCGTCTTTGTACATGTTATAGAATCCAGCTTGTGCTGCTTCGTAACCTGCTCCTGCACTAACGCCATCCCCGCCTCCTCCAGTTCCTTTTCTTTTCTCCATTTTGTCCATCTTTGGCTTTCTCTTGACACCACCAGGGAGTAGAACCTTGGGATGCGGAGGGTAAAATCCAATTCCAGTTTGTGGCATGTAAAATGGAGCACAAACAACTGAAAAAATTAAGAACAACCAAATTAAGAACCTAACTCATTATATATAAGAGAAATAGTTTACAAGTTTGATGCGGTTATGAAGGCATACACCACAAACCACAAGAAAGACAATATGGCATGCAACAATAGAGCATTCCGAATGTGTATGAGAGAGAGAGAGAGAGAGAGAGAGATGGGCCATAAATTAATTTTACTTAAATGGAAGGGAAAACAAGAAATAGACTGAAGCGAAAACGAGGACACAAAAAAAAAAATCTCTGAAACTCACTTCTTAATTATTTAACCAAGATAAATCAACATCTGGAAGAATAGCAGTTGGGAAGAGACGATCATGACAAAGGAAAAAACAAAAAATCATTGAAAGACAAACCAAGAGATTGCAACCGGGAACGATCAACATTTACAAAAGATAAAATAAGAAGAAAACGAGTAAGATTGACGAACATCTTACAAAGATTAAATCAGAAAAAAGAAAACCCTAGTTGAAATTACTGGGAGTAGAGCAATACCAATGAGTTAATCCGTATATAAGAACAAGAAGCAGAGGTCATAAGTCTGAGGACAAAAGTACATACCAACCAATTTAACAATAATCGGGATTCACCAAACACCGTTAAAAGTGCAGTTTCGAGTACTGTCATTACATAATCAGGCCCTACGATCTCGAGAAAAAAATGATAGAAAAGACAACTACATGCAGGCTAAAATTTTCGATTAAAGTTTGTCACTGAAACTACATGCATGCAGAGAAACAATAAGTTGTACAGAACAAAAAACCATACAAGGAGAATGGAGAAAGACTTAGTAGAGGCACGCAGTGACAGTGAAATCAAGAGGTCGAACATAAAACAAAACATGGGTGATGCCCAATCTTCAGTAAATAACTAGGAGAGAAAGATAAGACAGAAGGCAACCATTGTTACAGGGACGAGGGGAATGAACCAAAACTGGGGCAGCTTTATGAAAAAACTGGTTGGCATAAACCATGCTCTCCTGCTTTTGTTTCTGCCTCTGCCTTGCCTTGTGGTTCTGGAACCAGTAGAAGACGTTCTTCCCTTCGATGTGACCATACATCCTAAGCCTGCTCGAGATCTGTTGTATCTGCTCAGCAGTGGGAGTCCTGATGCCTTGTCTGTACAAACTTTCAAGTATGCTAATCTGCTCCTTGGTCGGATTCCACCTTGTACTTGCGGGGGATCCAGCGGAAGCCAACAACTCCACGCTCTTATCTTCCATGAGACACCGAGATTGCAGAAACCCAAGACTTTGCAGGATTTCCACTTTGTATTGCTGGGTTTAGGGTTGAGCAGAGAGATAGAGGGGAAAAGAAGAAAGCTGGGTGGAAGCCGCTACTTCGTGCATGTCCCTTTATAATCTGTTTTGCCTTGCTTTTACTTACGGGAGGCGGAAGAAGAGAGAGAGAGAGAGTCAAACATAAATGCGAGCTTGACATGCGTATTGTTTTTGGTGCAGAAACGTCTCTGAAAACATGGGGGAGAGCGGCTGGGAATAGGTAGGTTCGTCTTGGTTGGACTATGCATGCGTTGAAAGACGATTCTGCCCATGAGTCTTTTTTTGTCTTAAATAGCGAACAGACTCGGCCTCTATCCTCGGGAATGACATAGGTGCAGTGGGATGATTGAGAGAGAAGACAAGGGTATGTTTGTCACTAAAGAAAAGTCTGCCTTGCTTGAGAATGTAAATGGGTAGTAGGATCATAGGATGTGTATGTAGTAGGTTTTGGGCTAGGCTTCGGGAATTGGAGTAAGAACGATAGAGGAGAGGGAGATGAAGCGGCGTCGCCGCGTGGATCCGTGATGGTGGCGAAAGTTGCGCATTTTAACACATCGGCAGCAGCTTCAATCAGAATCAGCTGCCTTGGCGTCTCCCTCCCTCCCTCACTCCTCCTCCTATTTAAGCCACCCAGCCTGTCTGCCTGCTTCTCTCTCTCACTTTCTGGTTGTGTAAATGAATGGAAAACCAGGAGCAATGAATCGATTCGTCAAAATGAAAAATTATGAATCGGACGAATCAATTTCCATTCAAGGCATAAACGAGAACAAAAAAAATTAGTATGGGAAAACGTAAATATATAAATGAAATGTTTCATTACACGAAAGGATGATAGATAAAAAGAGGGAATAGATCCAACATCTGAAAAGGAAGAAGCGCATGCAGCAAGCGGCGATTAAAGCAATCAAAGATATTGAAAGATTTATAACAGAGTAATTTTGGGGATTGTATAAAAGTGGTGGTAATTGGTAATTATCCATCAAAAACGAGACTGATCAATTAAAAGTTTAAAACCCAACTTCAAAGTCCATAATGTGATTCATAAATAACCTAGCTAAAGAGGATTTGATGACAAATCAAAACACTGAAATCAATGAGAGAGGGAGAATGAAGAGGAAAATAATAAAAAGGTTCTGCTTCATTCCTAAGACTGAGAGATTGTTGCATTACGTGTGCCACAGTACCAGGCTGGCGACGTAAAAACGATGACAGCATTCGCAGAAGTCGATCCGTTGTACCAGATTATCGACACCAAAGCGACGGCGGCGATGGAAGAAATCGGCGACGTCTTCAACTTCAAGCAAATGGGTGGGGTGGCCACTGGGCACTGGCCGATGGCAATGGTGGTAGATAAAGAAATTTGACGAGGCCAAGTTTTTAGTGTATTAAAAAAAATAAAGTGTTTTCATTTTGCCATGTGTATTGACGTGGAAGCCCTCAAGTGGGACCCAATGGGTGGCCTCGAGCTTCGATATCACTCCCCCCAGCGTTCAGCTATGATAAATCAACGGTCAAAAGTCTGTTTTGCAGGGTTCAGTCTAACTTGAATCAAGGGTCGGGACAAAAAGGAAATCTGATAGACTTTTTGTAGTCGTTTACCTCGAGAGGAAAAGGGACAAAACTCTTTTCGATGGGACTCATCTGATATTTTAAATTTCTGTTTTGTAAGTTTCACAGGATTGTAGATTCAGAGTGGGCCCAACCAACCAACGGGAACAAGAACCGGAGTAAGGGTCCAAAATTACATGTAAAACGACAGACGGCTCAACCTAATTCTAACTGTTAAAGGGCATTCGCCAATCGGCCCATCTATTTATTTTGGTGAGAAAACATTTATAAGCTCGAACTTTATAAAAGTTCTTTTTAATTTAATTTATATAATACAGAATATTTAACTATTGCTAATTTAATTCATTAATATTATTTAATATCCAAATCTATCTGAACCTGAACCAAACGAATAAGGTTTCATTTAAATCATCAAATTTAGAGGGTGAGTGTGGATGAAAAATTGGTGGGTATGAATTGGTCTATACCACACCTTGTGGCAAATACCTATTCACACCACATCATAGCCCACAGCTGTTCTGAACTGTGGATAAATTGTATGGACCAGACCAGTCCACACTCAGGGTGGTGTTCTGTAAGTATGCTACTCCACACTACACTTTTTGATTCCATGTATCTTATATATATTTAATGGGAGATCTACATATATCTAATTTATGCATTTTATATGGTAAGTAAATTAAAAAAAAGGCATCAATAAACTAATATGTAGGCAACAATTGCATTTTTAAATAATTAAAAAATATTATTTTAAATATTAAAAAATTAAAAAATATATATTTTAAATATTATTATATTGATAAAAAAAATAAATATTTAATATTTAAATAATGAAAAAATAGTGGAGAAGGAGAACCATCGGACTTGTGCTAGAATTAAAATTAGAAAATATTATTTTATTGATAAAATATTAAAAATTTAAAAATTATTAAAATATTAAATAAAATAAGAGTAATTTGACCAATGTAACATAGGTGCATTACACTAAAACCTTCTCACAAATTGTCAACACCATAGTGTGAATCATTCATGAGAAAATACTATGGACAATAAATTGGGGTGTGGTTCGTCCTTGTCCACGCTATTTTGTGGACGGGGACCGTCCATACATAGTAGAACACCATATCTTGCCATGGACAGGACCAAAACATTCCCGTCCATGATATTTACACACTATCGAATGCCACCTTAGTTTAGTCTCAGGTATATACAACTCAATTTGATTCCTTTGCAACCAATAATTTATGTGTTCTCAATTTGCAACATTTGAGCTTGAACCTTCTTTATGCGAAGTATATTCTGCTCGTCTTTTTTTTTCATTTTTGTAGGTTAAATTTGGGAGTGCTTAAGCACTTATTTTGGGCCGGGACCATAGTACTTATTTGCATTTGGGAAATAAACCCAAAATAAGTGTTTATTTTGACAATAAGCATTATTTGAGAAGTTTAAATTTTGGGCTTATTTTTAAGTGCTTATTTAATAAGTGTTTATTTTTCGTTTTGGACTATGTTGATCCACCACGTCATTTTTAAAATGTCTATAATACCCATATTTAAAATAAGTATTTTTTTCACCAAACACTCATAAGTACTTATTAAAATAAATACTTGTTTTTAATCACTTGTTTTTCAAATAAACACTCTCAAACTTGGCCTTATTCTTTTTTGTCAAATTCCATATGATAAAATTAGATCTTTTTGTATAAAACCTAATGAATTTGGTTTAGATATAATATTTTAATATTTTTTCCTTCTCTTTGGGGTGTCATAAACTCTTATCCCTCTGAGCAGGGGTGGCAATTTTTAGCCAAGATTGGAAAGCCTGCCCATATATGGCTAGCAAATTTCTTGGTTGGAGCAGTTAAAAAACAACTCAGTTCACGTCGTTCAAAAAAAATCCATGAAGAAAAAAGCTTAAGCCAAAATAAGAACAAAATACTAATTATGTAAATAAATTCAAATCAATTGCTATTTACTCTCATATAACCTATGTCTACACTCTTTCGGTCTTTTGCCTCCTATAAGAAAATATCCATAGTTCAACTTGTTACTCTTTATTATAAATCAATCAAGTCTCTACAAAATAAAATAAAACAAGAAAGTCCTATTTAAAGTCAAATTTAAAAATCTCGCTACATCGCTAAAATGGTATGTGAGTACTAAGATGGGTCTTTGGAACCAATTTACTAAATGCATGCTCAAATGGGTCAATATCAATAGCATCATTTTTGCTATTTATATATCTTTGGAGCAAGGTTAAAAATATTGATACGCCTTTAGAGGCGTATTGGACAGTATCAATATATTTTTTTTAAATCTGATTCACAGGGATTTGTTTAAGGTCCTCCGTCCACCCCCTGAATCAGTCAAAACCTCAATACATCCTCTGTAAGAACATATCAGAAAGCTCCCGATACATGTCAATACTTTAAACCTTACTTTAAAGTGGTTTCGTTTTTTTTAGAACTGCTTAGGAACCATTACAATCATCAAGTAAATCAAAAGAAATGAAAGGAGGTGGCAAGGCCACTATGAGGTCTAGAAATGGAAAGATAGTGACGAACCATTTTTTGAGCCCCAATATTATAATTCCTTCTAATATGAGCAGTTGGGCAGTGGGAGACAGATCTTATCAGTTATTTGCAATCGGCAAGGATAGTAGAAATCCACCAAGGGGAAAAGAATTTCCACCAATAAAGAAGATATCACTTGCAATGCATCTCCTTGAAAAAGAATGTAGTTTAGATTTAATTCCACGATTAACTCAAGGGATTCAAGTAGAGCCCTAGCCTCACTTTCCACCCAAGATCAAATGGGAAGGGGAACAACCCTAGCTACCACCAAGAACCCACCATGATCCCTAATTACAATATCTATACCAATCTTACTATTAGGTTATGTTTGGTTTGAAGGAAAAGGTAGGGAAAGGAAAGGAAAGACAGGAAAACCTATATGATGTTTGTAAAGGTTTCCCTACCTTTCCTTTCCTTTTCCTGCATTTCCCTTTCAACTAAACATAGCCTTAAAGATTGCACTCTCAGCTAATTAAACTTGGCTTGAATGCAATGGTAGAATTATCTATCTTATGCGAGTCAAATAAGTGGGCTTCAATAGAATTCAGGATTGGGTCAAAATCAGCATTTTCCATTACCACTTTACAACGGGCCTTCCAAATAATCCAAATAATAATAGAGCAACGAACTAGAATTTAAAGGTTTTAAGTAGAAGTGAGGTAGACTGTGTAGGCCTATAATTCCAACCATTTTATAAGATTTCCAAGTGATTTCATCTTTCATAGAAGTTGTTAGCTTCCTCTTGTATTGCATCATTGGCCTAGGTTTACATTTTCTATCTAAGCCCACCTTAGCTAGGACT